TTTCGAAACAACAAAATGAAATGAAAAAATATAAAGAAAATACAGTCGGAAAACCTCCTTTTCAATCTGAGGATACGCAAAAAATTTCTTCAACAAATCTTTTGGCGTTTAGTACGTCATCGACAAGCCTCATACGCCCAAGAAAGTTCCGATCAATAATTAATCAGGGAAACCTTAGAGATTGACAAAAATGCCCTTTCTTTCATACCTATGACGTCTTTCTCTTCATAGAACCGGTAGCGCATTGACAAAAAAAAACCCCCATAAAACCACCCGCCCTATGCTCTCGGACTATTGTAAAGTTGTATTGTGGTACATTCGTAGCAATGATGCGTCATCTAAGCTGGTCACGTTTGGTACGTCTCCTTACTCGTTATCAACCATTATCGCTTTTGATTACTTATTATCGAATTTCAGATGGGTACTGTATTGTATTATAGTATTTTGGGCACTTTTATTTTCACGGGTATTCTTCTTGGAACGACTATTCTGATTGTAATTGATATTGTGGACGAAATTGGCGAATTTCGTACAGAAGTTAAACAGGATATCGATCAGTTCAAGGTAACCTTCTATCGATTTTTGCGCTTTCCGAATCGATTTCGCTTCAGCTAGTTATAACAACCCAGTTCACGTCACGATAAAAGGTTTCCCTCGTTCCCTTTAACGAATCTTCCCGCCGCCACGTCACTTTTTCTGATGTTGAGAAGGTCGGATTTTCGAACTTTCCATGGATAGTAGTAATACTGAGTTCTTAATGTAAGTAATGCAGCGATAGGTGTTAACGACAAACAGGAAGTGCACTCTGAAATTAAGAATAGGATCAGAATTTGTTCAGAAAAACTAGATTATTTGCCCACCCACACCACCCAAATGCCATTTCCCACCACCCGTGGGTTGATTAATTGATTCCAGAGTTTTTGGAGCGATATCATTGATAATTCACCAGCGTTCACTGGATCACACTCTAGCCAGTGAACGCACCCGAAGCTACTCTGAATTTAAATGCAAGTTAAACGCTTACAATACCCAAAAAGACTTAATCAGTGCAAAGCGTTCTGTCCCTGCTCCATATCGACTTCCTCCGCTCTTTAAAGTTCTTATTTTTGAGTTTTTTTNGTAGCAGTCCATGAGCGTTTCCAACGTCTTCCTGGATGAAAACCCGAGTAACGTCGAATAAATTGAGAACGAGAAGCTTTTCACATGCTTTGTATAATAACTGGGAAATACTAGAGAAGAATTGAGTAGAGGATGAAATTTTTAATATTGGAATTAAAAAATCTCGGTCCAGATGGTAATTTCGGTTCAAATGATATTACTACTCCATGGCAGAATTCCCCGCGTAACGTCAGCGTTTCAGACCTATGCAGATGACGCATGGGAGGTGATGATGACCGCACGAGAGAATCCACCATCCAAGCGGTATAACAGATTTTACGACTCTATTATTCGCGGCAAAAGAGGTGGAACATATACATCACAACATCTCGAAGATATGGAAGCAACTGCTGAAAGTGATTGTCAATGCGCAGCCAAGGCATTATCATGCCCTCGAGGACCACCTGGTAAGGAGTACGCATTAGGGTTGTACCAAATACGAGTATCATTTATCCTTATTCAGGACCTCCGGGACATGCGGGTATCCCGGGTGAAGACGGTATTCCGGGAATTCCAGGTCACCCAGGTGGTCCAGGCGTGTCCGCATATTCGTCACTGTTGTCCAACTGCATTCAATGCCCCGCTGGACCTCCTGGTCCCCGGGGACCAGATGGAGAACCTGGTCCAGAAGGAATTCCTGGACTCCCCGGGATGGATGGACGTGAAAGCCTGGAAGGTAGAACATAAAAGTATTAGATCTACACATTCACCTCTTTGAAAACCGCAACATTTAGGTCCAGTAGGACCTCCCGGACGCCCAGGACCTCGTGGTCCCGATGGAAATCGTGGTAGCCCAGGACGAGACGGACAACCAGGAGAACCAGGTGCGTATTTGCTTAGATTATGGCATCAAAGTTAGAACTCCGAGATTTTGCACCAACAAAATTTCTAGGAACTCGAACAACCAATTATCCAGGACCAGAAGGTCCTCCAGGTCCACAAGGGCCACCAGGTCCAGATGGTCAAGATGGCAACAATTATGGTAATGGAGCGCCAGGACCAGCAGGACCTCCAGGTAGACCTGGTAATCCAGGTCGCTCTGGGCTACCAGGTGTGCCGGGTCAGCCCGGTTCAACTGGAACGCATGGATCAGACTCTCACTACTGTCCGTGCCCACCAAAAAGTAGAGGCCACTTCTGGACAGAGGATGATGAGCCTGAAAGTGTTGCCAAAAGAAGAAGAGGTCGGGTTCAGAAGAGGCAGAAGTCATAACGTTGTGTCACCGTAGAACAATAAATTTTTACATCTTTTTGAAGCATTCTGAACGTCTGATCAATCGATATTCGTGTTCGATTATGAATGGACCATATACATAGTGGGAAGGATGTGTGCTAACCAATCCTTAAGGGTGCATCTTACATCCTACTCAACGGACCCTACGACGGCGCGGGATGAACACCAGGGAAAAGAAGAAGAAAAAGAAGCATCTTCTATCCTACTCTCACGAAGTATTACAGAAGCATTTAGACATTAGCACAACAGCTATATTGGCTTCCTAAGCCTCAGACTATAGGCCAGGATTAACCTTCACAAGCAATTCCTACACGATGTGAACTACCTCGAAAAAGTAGTGCGCGATTGACCTGAACACAACAATGTCTTCAAAGCATAGTTGGGAACCTACTCACTAGCATCAAAGGAAAAGCGCTTTTTCTAATTCCCTTCGAGTTATGGATGCCAAGAGCGATGTATAAGACCTGCAAGTAAACAGGACACATTGTGTTTCCTATGATGTGTGACGGATTAATTCTTTTGACCTTGGTCCAACCAGTTTGTGGGATGCGCTCCGCATTTAACGTCCTTATAGAATCTTAGTGATGTTTGAACTGAAGGCTCATACAATGACTTGTGGTGAGATACCAATGTGCAAGTGTCGTTCTGCGGGTCTCATAATGCTTGCCATAACGTCACATGTCGTCCAGAACTATAAAACTTTCCTGGAACGAGCTCACGAGAAGAGACGAACAAATACCTTTTTATATTTCGGAATTTGTACTCTGGTGAGTTGTCTCCTATTTACAAAATTGAATTTGGGAACACCCGACTAACCACAGCTAATATTTTTCTGAAAAAAAAGAAACATGTCCCTTGCACAACCCGTTTCTGAAAATGAGTCCAAAAAACTAGATTTTCGAACATTGATCACAATTCATGAGTACTTTGGCTTTGACGAAGCCATGGTTACAAGGAAAAGAAAGCTGAAAAAATGGATGGCAGAAAAACAAGCTGCAAAAAAAAATCCGGAGCTAATAGTGAGAGATAACCGTTGTTTTCCAACCCATTTCAAATGTACCATAGTAAATTCGGTTACCCCAGAAAACTCAGGAGGAAGAAAGGAACATGTAAGCCAATACATATGGCTTGCTCTGTGAAAATAGATCTAATCCAATCGGTCTTGAAAATGAACTGTGACGTCCGACCCAAAACACCATTACAGGATGCCACCATCACTATCTATATGTAACAATAAAAAGAATGTAACGACATGAAGGGGGGGGGGGGGGGG